CGCTAAATTATAGCATAGTAATAAGTTTCAGACAGGACACATGCAGTAATGTCGCCGAGTCGTCGCTATAAATAGAGAGAGAAAAATGGCACTGCCTACAAGCGACCGGAATAGCTGAGAAAATTATAGTACAAGAAATTTTGATCGCTTGATAGCAGCCCACTATAAGCGCTATGTGCGTTAAAATCTAAAGTTATGTATACCGTGCACAGAGAAATACCCTAAAGCCAAACGCCGACGGATATATATTATTGTCTAGCGTGAAAGGCATGAACTTTTTAAGACAGGGAACCCAAATATAAATATGCAGATGGTATCACCCGATGTGTAAAGTATTATTGAGATTAGGAATACACGGACGCTAAAAACGCTGCCGATATAAGCACCAACATTGCGCGAGTGGGTAGTTTTCTTATAAATGGCGTGATAATGTACCGGCAATTTTCAAATTTAATCGGCAATCTCGACTGCTAAATCGTTATTGGTGGCTGCATAGTGCAGTATACAGAAGTTTAAGGGTCGAAAACTATGATGTGCGAGATATGGCTGCATGTGGATCTTCAAACGGTGCTTTTCGATGACAAAAATCAAATGTATATAGAGGCTGTATGATCTACGCACCAACATAAATTCTACGTGATGTTTAAGCTTAAAGGCTAAAGCAGCGAGAAAGGTACGATGATATCACAGCTCGTAGATACGGAGATCATTCTGAAAGGCGTCTTCACGAAAGCTTACTGGCACCTTGGCGGCTGCAAAAGAGAGTAATTCTAGGTCGTTTTTGTTTTAGGTGCACGTGCAGTGGAACAAACGTTTTATATGGTAGTATTCAGTAAGGACGATTTACACTGCATCCACTCATTTTGTGGAGAAATTGTAGATGTTTCTCCCTCACATTATAGTAACGGACTAGGTGGTAGATAATGTATACAAGTGAAGATTGTAAACCTATCACTTAATATAAAAATGTAAGTTTTAAAAATAAAAAGCTTACACTCGAACCCCACTGACCAATATAACCGTCAAATCAAGTCTTCAGCAAAACAGAATAAAGTGCCGTTATGAAGCTTCGAAAAATGTTGACAATATTTCATGACTTGATAGATGTCAAATAAGATTGCTTATATAATTTATGGACAAGTTTGATAATCATGCATTGTATATGATAGCGTCAATATTGTCAGCAGTTTGGGGACACTATTCTCATGCGATATTACGTGCACAAACTATTGAGAAATACGATTGGAAGCCATTTGTGGGGAGCGTCATCGTCAGGTCAAAAAATTTCTTTATCAATCTGTCAAATTTCTTGCAACATATGATAGTTAATTGTATATTTACTTATGAGCTCATCGTTTATCGACAAGCATATGTCAAGCTTGAACGAAAGATATACTCATGTGGAAATCAACGACTTGAAGCGTATGGTATGGTAAGAGATTTGAAGCTGTAAGCAGCGTGTTCAGCCAAAAGATGGTTTTTGCCGTGGCTGAAAGAAGAATTTTTTTTGAAACGTATACAGCATACGTGGAGATTGCCAGGATGAAAAATGTAATATAACATACCACGATGCTACACTTTAATTTGCGGAAGGACGAAAATTCGTTCAAGCTTGCTTTATTTTACATAAACAAGATAGCACGAAGATGAAAATTGAGCTATCAATTTTAGACAAAGCAGTGAGATTGTGCGAATTGGCACGACGTATTGTTTCAAGCAGTTACTGCAATCGCCTTCTCGACATACGTCTTAGTTTATTGAATAGTATAGCATTCGCAATTTTAAAGTCGGTTCTTGACGTCTGCCAAAGGTCAACGACTATATAACGATGAAATGATGAGCTTAAATGTCACTGAGACACTCTATCGAAAGTAAACACACGTCCCAGCATTTATATCAACAGCACAAAGTAACGGATACGATTAGTAAAGTGGTATCATGAGTATGCTAGATAATCACATCCTCAACTGGATCGTAATTAAAGTACACTAATAAATCTATACAAGGGTACAACAAATAATACTGAGGTCAAATTTTACTGAATACAGTGGATTGTTGAGCGATATGCGTGTGAATAATCCGGTCAATTTGGGATGATAAGATAGCTTTGACATCGCATGTGACGATCTGTTAACGTTGCGCTATTCGAGCCAAAAATTTAGGATCAATAACTACGAAGCGAGACTTTATATTGGTCCTGATGAAAGTAGCTATCTGCTTGGAAACAAAACTTTCATGTATTCTTGATAATTCATGGCATGAATGTCAGACGCGTTACAAGTGGTCGGATGCAGCGATGCAAACTTCGGTACAGAAAAAGGTGACCAATAATATTTATTCGGTGGCCTTATTGCGATTATAAAAGGGGTCTTGAGCCTCTAAATTTTTAAGAAAACGCGGCTAATTTCTATCGGGAAATCTCAGTTTACCGCTGCATCGTTCGTGTTTTGAGAACGTTTACATGTTTGCGAATTGTCACATATACAACGCCTTGATGGCATAACGGTGCATCAGTAAAAAAACGAAATCAGTATTTTCATGTTGAGATCACCTCAGTTCAAAATTAAATGCATAGAATTCACATCAAGCTTTTGTATAAGTAACAGAAGTGGATTGATGAATCCATAAATTCAGACATCGTGTATATTCCAGCCGGAAAACTAGCAAAAGTATAGAATGCGTTATACTAATACGTCATGCGCGAAAAATTAGGAAAGTAATAGACTGGATATGTACAATGAAGAGTTGAAGTACAGGCAAGAGATTCTGCATCATAGTTATGGTACAAGTGCCAACCAACGATCACCAGTTCGTGTAAAATGTCTGAGGGATATCTAATTTATTTTTACTGTAACATAATTTGTTGCTAGCAAAGAGATACATTTCAAATCTCTAGTTGAAAATCAAAGCAAGAGTTCTAAATATTGATTCATACATCAAAGGCGCTTTCGTTTATACAAAGTGGAAGTCTGGCCGTGCACTTCCTTTTACAAGAGTGGCTTCCGCATAGTTCTCGGTATCACAGATAAATAGCTCGAATCTTCGATCAATAATGAGTTCATCTTTAATTGCCGCCATTCTGATGTGTATGCTACTCTTGGTGTCCGTACAACGTTGATCGTGAGTTGCATAATTAAATTAGCCACGAGCATCATAGGTCCATACAACGCCTATCGACACTCGTCAAATGAACCTTATATAATTTGCAAGGAAATCTTCATGTTGTAGAGAACCATACGCCATGCTTCGGCAGCATGAATACCGAGACCTTTACATGTATGTCATGATGCAATCGCGTATGGAATGATTAATATTTGTGTGTGTAGAATCAAAGACTGGTTGTTTAAGCTCACACGATGCAAGAAAAGGGATGCTGCTATGAATATTTACGCCACACACTGGTGTCTACACCGGTATACAGAAGTCCGTTATAGAGCTCATTCACGAAGGGATTCGACTAGAACTTCTATCGAAGTCATGGTATAGAAAGACATGAATCTACGTTGTACACGCATTAGTATGTATCCAACGATTTGCCACATGAAGGGATGAAGCCATAAGTAAAAAACTACTGTCAGTGTTAGTCTATCGTTACCATACGAGCATACTTCTTCCACTTAGACATGCACATGCACCATGACGCATTCAATTGGCCCTTTCGGGCATGTAAAAAAAGCAGGCAAACGCAACCTCAGCACCGTTCGAGTGAAGTGAGAACTTCATGCATATACCACACCCTAACTGTCACATGTAGACCGCGTCACCAAGTATAATATTTGTGGCCAAATTTTATATGTGGGTCGACAACTATGCCTAAAATTGGAAAATGATACGACAGGATCAGGGCTGCTTTCCACCAGGTCTCAGCGTATATTATGATAGTTTTTATCAAAAAAAACTCTGCGTATGCAACTAGAGACAATGTCAAAGGCAGCATCCGTGGCCTCAGCTTGGCCATTGCAGAACCCGAAACAAAATAGCCATCATCGACAATGTTATAATCATTCACCTTGAACAGCAAAACAAAGATTGCAGGGTAAAGGCTCCCACCGCGCTCGAGACGATCATACACAGTTTGACATTTGGAACACACGTAATCACCATTGCTGGTCATCACATGATAGGACGATAAACGTTACGCTTATTCTTACATCGTGTTCTCTATCTACACTGATGGAATACGTAGATTAGTGACTTGCGTGTATTTTTCTGTGAAATGTAGTCTGGTGCATCATTACAGCATGTACACTGCTGTTCAAGTAAGCTTCGATCCCTAAGGTTCGCTTGATTTAGTATCAGATGAGCTGTACGAATCATTTGTAAAGTCCCTGTACGTATTCGACAATACCGCTGATGTATCGCCAAACGACCATCGCCGCCCTCCAGCTCGGTGCTATATTTCTTCGTGCAGCGTTGCTCTTTTCGTATGTTGTAGACCCCATGTATCATATCTACTACAGCTTGATTCAACTTGACAACGTACGACATATTTGTGCGTGGCACTCCTGTCGTGCACGATATCTACAACCGATCGCTGGAGCTTTATGTGCTTTCGTTCTGTTTGAATCGCCACCACTCGCACGGGCATCAGAGCACTGCAACATACATGGGCAACACCTTCCGAATGCAGCAGCCAAACCCTTGCAATCGACTCCGATATTGCATTTTCCGATTGTCCCGCCAGGTTACACACAGCACGCAACTGATATACCGCGCCGCTCCACAAAGTTGACACACACCAATCGTAGCATCAGTACCGTCGTAACCCACACGTCAACCCATTCGGCGTTTAGCTGGCGTGACCGTCTATTCCATGTGCACCACATGCATCGCCTCCGACAACCTGCACCACCCACAAAAAGTACCGGTATCCTCACCACGACCGTCGCCCAAATCCTTCCCACCAATCCACGCGCTCGCATTCTGACTTTCACCCAATCACATACCGCGGCTCACCTTTGGCAGCCGCTCGCTGGCCGTCCACGAACAATCGGTTGAGCATGAGCGAAGCGTCGAGCCGCGTGACGTCGCTCGAGGACGCGATCGAAGCGCTGGACGTGCGCGTCGCGTCGCTCGAGACGCAGGTCACGGCCGCCTCTCCCCCTCTCTTCGATGCCGACGCGTGGCCCGCTGCGCGCATCCGCAAGACGTTTCTCGACTTTTTCGAGTCGCACGAGCACTTGCCCCATACCTTTTTCAAGTCATGTCCCGTCGTCCCGCTCGACGACCCCACGCTGCTGTTTATTAACGCGGGCATGAACCAATACAAACCCATTTTTCTCGGGCAGGTGGACCCTTTGCACCCCATGGCGAAGCTCACGCGCGCGTGCAACTCGCAGAAGTGCATTCGCGCGGGCGGGAAGCACAATGATCTGGACGACGTGGGGAAGGACGTGTACCACCACACGTTCTTTGAGATGCTGGGCAACTGGAGCTTTGGCAACTACTTTAAGCAAGAGGCCGTGCACCTGAGCATGACGCTCTTGACGCAGGTGTACAAGATTGACAAGGATCGGCTCTATGCCACGTACTTTGGCGGAGACGAGCAGCTTGGACTGGAGCCCGATGAAGAGACGCAACGGATTTGGCTCCAGTATTTGCCATCCGAGCGCGTGCTGCCGTTTGGCTGCAAGGACAATTTCTGGGAGATGGGCGACGTTGGGCCATGTGGACCCTGTACGGAGATCCACTATGATCGCATTGGCAATCGCGACGCTTCAGCGCTCGTGAACGCTGACGTGCCGGATGTGATTGAGATCTGGAACAACGTGTTCATTCAGTTCAATCGTGAACAGGACGGTAAACTCGTGCCGCTCCCGCACAAACACGTGGACACGGGCATGGGGTTCGAGCGTCTGGCTTCGATTCTGCAAGGAAAGGATTCGAACTACGATACGGACGTGTTTACGCCGCTCTTTGCCATCATTCAGAAGCTCACGAAAGCGGCTCCATACACTGGCAAGCTGGGTGAAGAAGATCCGGACAAGAAAGATATGGCTTACCGTGTCGTGGCAGACCACGTGCGCACACTGACGTTTGCAATCGCGGATGGTGCAGTGCCTAGCAACGACGGCCGTGGATACGTGTTGCGTCGAATTCTGCGCCGTGCTGTGCGTTATGGACAGCAGTTCTTGAATGCACCGAGTGGTTTTCTAACAGAACTGGTGCCATGTGTGGTGAACATGCTGGGGGACGCGTATCCGGAGCTAGTTGATAAGCAAAAGAAGGTGGAGGATGTCATTCTGGACGAAGAGAAGTCGTTCGGTCGTACGTTGAACAAAGGAATCGAGCGTTTCAAGAAGATCGCACAGAGTATTCGTGAGGCTAACGCCGGGTCCAACGAGAGTCTTGTTGTGCCCGGTGAGGATGCGTTCTTTCTGTACGATTCGATGGGCTTTCCCTTCGATCTGACGGAGATCATGGCCGAGGAGGAAGGCATGACGGTGGACAAGAAGAGCTACGAGGCGTGTATGCGTCTACAAAGCGAGCGGTCCAAGATGGATCGCAAGAAAGGCGGCAGCAACGGTGCGCGCCCGCTTGTCCTAGAAGCTCGTGAGACGAGCGCGCTTGCTGATAAGCATGTTGACGTCACGGACGATATGGTCAAGTATGACTGGCACATCAAGACCCCAGCGAAGGTGGTAGCCCTCTTTACGACGACAGAGACTAGCTCTGACTTCGTAGATGAGGTGAGCGCTGGCGACTTTGAGCGCGTGGGCGTCATTCTGGACACCACCTCTTTCTACGCACAGGCTGGTGGCCAGATCTATGACACGGGTGTGCTGAGTAGCGACAACTTCAAGCTGGATGTCGACTCAGTGGAATCATACGCTGGCTACGTGATGCACATGGGCCCTATCGCGTTCGGTTCCATAAAGGTTGGTGACGCTGTGGCGTGTGAAGTGGACTACGTTCGTCGTGCCAAGGTGGCTCCGAACCACACTATGACGCACGTGCTTAACTTTGCACTACGCAAGGTGCTGGGCGCGGCGGTGGATCAGCGTGGATCGCTTGTGGACGACTTGCGTTTGCGTTTCGACTTTACGAATAACAATGCGCTGAAGCCCAATCAGTTGGCGGAAGTCGAGGCTATTTGCGATGACATCATCAAGCAGCAGCTGGAAGTCTTTACGCAGAACTCTGCACAGGCTGAGGCCACGCGCATTGAGGGTCTGCGCGCCGTGTTTGGTGAGACGTATCCGGATTTTGTCCGCGTCGTTTCGATCGGCCAGCCCGTTGCTCCGATGCTCGAGGATCCGGAGAATAAGTTATGGAACAACTACTCGGTGGAGTTTTGCGGTGGCACTCACCTGAAGAACACGAAAGAGGCAAAGAAGTTCGTTCTGTTCGAAGAGTGTGCGATTGCCAAGGGTATCCGGCGCGTGTCAGCGTACACGTGCGATCTCGCCATTGAGGCTGAAGAGCGCGGAGAAAAGCTTCAGGCCGAGCTTGATGCCATTGACAAGTTGGACGGCGTCGAGTTCGTGGAGCGCGTGTCGTCTTTTAAGCCCGTGCTGGACCAAGCGCTGATCTCGCTGCCGCTAAAGGACAAGCTTCGAAAGCAGGTGGATGGTCTAGTGAGCCGGGTCAAGACGATAAAGAAGGAGGCTGCCGCTGCTCGTGCTGCTAATGGTGTGCATGACGCTACCGCCGAGGCCACGAAGGCTAAAGACGCTGGTCAAGAGATTGTTGTGGTGAAGTTCGACGTGGGCACGGACTCGAAACTAGGCCGCGAAATGCTGGACGCGATGAGCGCCATCATTCCGACAGGCAGTTTCATGATCTTCAGCACGGACTCGGACACGAACAAGACGGCGGCGTTCACTCGGGTAAGTCAGCAGCATGTTGACTCGAAGCAGCTGGATGCGCGAAAGTGGGTGAACCACGCGATGGTCGTGATGAATGGAAAGGGTGGTGGCAAGGACGCGCTGAATGCCACTGGCCAGGCCAAGACAGTGGAAAAGCTCGACGAGGCTGTGACACTCGCCAAGCTGTTCATTCAGTAACCGAGCGCCGTCGTTACGCTCGTGTTGCTAGTGCATTTGCCTGCTGTCAAGTTATTGGAAAGCTAGGATCGCCATGTCCTTGGCAAACACTAATAATGCACTAATGCAGACAATCGATGAGGCTCTTTTGTTTGTGCCAGCGTTGTTCTTTTTGCAACAAAGTATTGTAAACGCGGAATGCGCACGAAAGTGTGCTACCTCGTGGGTATCGAAGTGCATATTATCGTATGATGCGCTGAAGTAGAAGCTGAAATGACGGTCGAGCCATGCAGCCACTCATGTATGCCATTTTATAAGATCTTTTACGATCGTAGTACTCGTATGTGTGCAAAAAGCTGTCGACAAGAGTTGCATCACGCTGCAAGACGTGAGATACATTGTCATCGACTGCCGGGCCCACAGAAGCATGTAGCATACGATTGTACGGTGACCGCATCTTGCAACTATCATGTAAAAAAAGAGACGTGCGGTGATGGCAAAGTTGCTTCGGCGCTATATATTCACACATGGATGCATGGGCAGCACTCGGAGCTGCTGCAGTCATTGCTTCACCTTGCATCGGCTCAGCTGTTGCAAAAACGCTGTTGCAAGTAGGACCTTTACGCGACACGAAAGTAGTTTTATCGTCTTCGAGCGTATATTTACGATTGTCAATCAAAATGACCCCACCTGCCATACAACCAGCGCACGGCAACACTGCGGTGTACAGGTAAGTAGTCATCGTCGTGCAAATTCTCGATCGTCCACCGAAAGCAAATTGGTCATCTAGCAGCATCTAGCAACAACCGCTTACGCGAATGGCAGCGACGTGTTTCAGGTCTTTAGCAAAGCTTCCATGCAAGGTCCTGTACATTTGAGTTTGATACACTGATGCCGTACTGAAAGTGCGGTAAAAGTGCCATGTTCATAGACATTCTCTGCAAGAGCACTACGATCCATCTGTACGTTTACAGAGATGGAGGAGTCAGGTTTCTGCGCTGCTGTAGAGCTCGTAAGCATCGCAGCTTTGCATTGATCAGGCGACCGTGGTGTAATACGATTATACGAGAGCACTCCCTCCACCCGCAAATCATCTGTACTCAGTCAAGTTTCCGCCTTGTCCCTAGTTGAAGATGGTCTCGGTCCTGATAGCTTACGCAGCTCGCCCGTTCAATAGCATGTACACGCAATGTATACACAGTCGATGAAAACATTGCACTGCAAAGTCACGCCTGAATAACAACATAAGTGATATCCGATGTAGGAATGAGAGAGGCGTTCGCTAAGTGATTTCCGATGTAGGAATGAGAGAGGCGTTCGCTCATATCTACATCGGAAAAAACTTATGTTGTTATTCAGGCGTGACTTTGCAGTGCAATGTTTTCATCGACTTTGTATACATTGCGTGTACCAGGCCATCGATTGCGAGGTACTGACCTCTTTCAGGAAATGAACAAGACATTTTGCTAGAGGTTTGCTGATGATCCGGCAAGTAACTAGAGGTCAGCTTCATCGTGTGGCGGTGAAACGATGTACCGAGAAAAAAATGGTCTCGTTGCTCACTTGGCTCATTCGATTGCATTTCCCCGCAGTTTGCTTGCAATTTGATCCCCCTACTCCACGTCGAAACGTGGATTTTAGCAATGAATGTGCACATTGGGTAGACCGAGATTTGGCTTCCCAATCCTTATCAGCTGCTCGTGCCCAATTTGAATAAACTCGGATTCGCTAAAACGATTCCCGCAATAGAGCGTCCCTCTAACTGTTACGAGATGCACTGTATTTCGGCTGCTTTATTCGATCGCTCCTGTCATCCAAACCGTATAAAACCTGCACGTCCACTCACTTGAGCGTCATGTCGGCCGTAACCAAGAGCTTTAAGAACGCTTTCCAGGTGCTGACTTCTGCGCGAGAGTACGGCGTGGGCAAGCGCGTGACGCGCGGCATCTGGTCCCACTATGACGAGCCTTCGTACTGGGAGGTGGTGCGGATTCGCCCGTCGCTTGACCTCAAGCACGGCAAAGCCTATGGCCGATTCACCTTTCGTGGTGAGTGGCAGCCGTCGACACTTGTGCGGTCTGTTGTTTGTCACGCCTCCTGAGGGGTGATATTGACTCTATATATGTGTGTGTGTATGTATCTCGACAGGCAAAACGGATCCGAAGGTCAAGCGCATCAATGGCGTGTTGAAGAAGGACTGGAGCTTTGTCGACGAGTGATCGAACGTCGCGACACAGGTCATCGTGAGACGTAATGAACGCACCGCCGTGTGTCAGTATCTGCTGGCGGCACAGGACTAACGACAATGCTGTCAGTACTTTCGTGCTTTCTTATACTGTTGACGACTGTAGTCCTTGCGGTCCATCCGTCCGTTCGAATACCGACTGCACTACTCGGCTCCGGACGATGGGGTAAATGTGGTCCGACTGGAAGACAGTACCCGGCACAAGTCGCTCATGTGTGGGGCTGTGCGGCAGTCCAAAGTAATAACGCTATCGGTGCCAACGACTCCTCTTATTCCAAGCCCATCTCCCACCTCTCTATCGAAGCACCGAGCGAACTTAAAGAGAACCCTTCGAAAAGCATACGCACGACGAGACCATTGCGGAAGCGCTTTCCCTCGCGAAAGTGCCCGAGCCGCTGCAACCCGCCACACAAAATCCCTCAAACCTGTCTAAACCGATTGCTCCCCACGCCGACCACAGCGGGCGCAACACGTACACTGTCGTCGTCACGAGAATGCGTCTCCGTCCGCTGCTCGGCGCCGTTTGTCTCTCGGCTGTCGCATGGCCTCACCACAGCGCTGCGCTTGAGACCGTCGCGAGTGCCGCCGACCTCGCGGCCATTGAGCGTTCGACCAAAGTCCACGCGCTGGTCGTTATCCGGACAAACGAAGGGAAAGACATCAGCGACGACGACGACGACGAGCCCCCGAGCCCCGACGAGCTCATCACTACGGCGTATCCGGATCTGCCGGATATCGAAAAGGACCTGGCAGGGCTCGTCACGTTTGGAGTGGTCGACATGGCGCTGCACGATAAAACCTCAGTGGGCAACCAATGGCAGTTGAGGAAACTCCCAGCGCTGGTCGTGTACCAAGAGGTACCGAAAGAGAACCCGTACACTGGGAAATTGTACCGAGCAGCGATAACAGCTGACGTGTCAATGCTGAAAAAACCTCAAAAGCTCAAAAAGATGCTTAAAGCAGCGATTCCGACGCAATTTGTGCACGAACTTGCAGGAGACGAGGCGACGTGGAGTGTTTTGACCCAATTGGTGCAAGAAAATGCAAAAGAGCTCAAGACAGTGGTCCTACTGATCTCGAAGCAGCGCCATGCGTCGCCCATGTATCACGCTGTAGCCGCAGAGTTCAACGACGCGGGACTGAGTTTTGTGTTTTTGAACAGAGACGAAAAAGGAGCACAGGAGGTGATGGAACTGCTGGAAGTGGACGCAGTGCCGGCGTTGGTGGTGCTGAAGTCCATGACGGACCACGTTGTGTCAAGCGCGGAGAATGTGAAGACGTACGGTGCACTCAAGAGCTTTGTAGAGCCTTTTGCTACGCAGAAAGGGACGAAGCGAGAAACGTCCGAGGGAGACAAGACAAACGAGAAGAGAAAGCCAAAGTTTGTTCGGTTCTTTTCTGGATCAGAGTTTGATGAGTTGGTGCTGCACTCGGACGTCGTGTGGATCATCGAGTTTATGGATGCACAGCGGGAGCAGCAAGTCTTGGACGATGAGGAGTGGAAAAAGACTCTGACTGAACTGCATCGAAAGGCCGGTGTGGTGGCTGTAGGTGCGGTCAGCTGCGAGAAAGAAGTCGAACTGTGCGAGCGTTACGGTGGACCCGGTGTTCGCGCGTTTCCGTTGGAGCCCAGCAGCGGCAATAAAGTGAAGCGTGCCGAGGTCCTCCCGCAAATGTTCACTACGATTCGCGAGGCAAAAGAGGTTGCTATTGCGACGATCCCCGACCATACTATTACGATCACGTCTTCGGCTGATCTGAACCCGTTCATTGCTCTTGCACGGGAAAACCGCGCGTTGCCTGTTTTGTTTTTCACGTCCAGGAAGTCTACACCGCCAATGATCAAGGCTCTTCCGCTGTCAGTCCCGACACAAAAGATTATGGTGGCGGTACTTTACGACGCTGACGAAGAGATGAAGAAGCAGTTCCTGATCGAAGCATCTGCAAAAACCTCACTGGTGTGCTTGGTGCCGACTCGAGCCAACTCAGAAGACCCGACATCTGGCCAGTTTGGAATCGTTCCTTACAAGAAGGAAAGCATGGGCTCGTACACATACCCGAACATTATGCAGTTCATTCTCCAAGTTTTTGCTCAATATCCTCATCCCCAGGATGCGGAGCCCGAAAGTGGTGCGATTGACGTCTCGCCACTCGATCTAGCGTCCGCTCAGTCGCTTGTGCCGTACATGACCAAGGAGAACATTGCTGACCTCTGTGGCGGCAGCAGGATTTGTGTGATTGGATTTTTGGAGGACCACGTTGACACAGTTGCAGACCCGGAGTCTCGCCTAGCCAAGTGGTGGATGACATTGGCGCACGTCGCTGCTCAGAGCGCTCAGCGCCGAGAGCCGTTCCAATTCGTGTGGATGAATGGGAAATGTCAGAAGGAGTTTGCGGAAGCGTTTGGTGTCGGCCTTTTCCAGATGCCGACGCTCGCGGTATACGCTCCTTCCAAGCAGCGCTATGCAACGAAGGTGGGCGCATTTGACGAGGAGAGTGCGACCGTGTTTTTGAAAAGTGTGCTGGCTGGTAGCATCAGCACTGCTCCAATCAAAAGCGTTCCTCAGTTGAGCGACGAGTGTTCGCTGGACGAGATCCAAGGAGTAGCAATCGGAGCGGATGATGCTACTGAAGATGACGGAGACATGGACGATATGCTGCGTGAAATCCTATCGGATGAAAAGCAGCAGCGTGACGAGCTGGAAAAAGAGCTGAAGTCGGAGCCGAAGGCGACGGAAAAGAGCAAGAAGAAGAAGCGCAAATCGAAGAAGAAAAAGTCCAAGAAGTCGAAGAAAAAAGCAGCGCGAGACGAGTTGTAGGCACGTTTAGATGTGATGGCATGTGCATATGACTCTTACATGCAGAAGTGCTCGATCGATCGATCATTCCACACAAGTGCCGCAGTCAACGACGTACTTGTGTACGCGTGCAAAAAACAATACAAAGTACGGGTGCCTCAAAGTTTTGTCCCGCTGCTTGTTTTCGTGTTGTAATTTGTATCGGTGTATTTTGTCCAACGACCAGGCCCGACCCTTTCGTTGTTGCGTGCCGGACCTCTTTATTGTGTCCCGTCGTGTACGGTACGCTCGCCTCGGCGTCCTCCATTCATTCTGCCCGCCGTACCGTTCGAAAGCCGTTCGCAGTGAAGATTCCGATATTCCTCCGACTGAGACATGGGCAAACGTACGTGAGCGCTCGTTCCGATGCATAGCCAGCAGCGGCTCTCAGTGGCGTTGCAAGACAGCAGCCACTCGTGTCGTGCACCTCCTCCTTTAGCTCCTCCTCTCGCATGCAACAGCACAATAGGCGACAAATTGATGCACTGCAGACCTGTCTGTGGACGTCGAAGCGAATCCGAACAACGTTGCGAGCAATGCAGTGGGGAGCAGGAGGACGCCACTTGCACGAGCATTGTGTGCTGCTGTTGCAGCTGCTGCTCGTGTGCCATACAGATGCAAGAGGCAGTTGCAGTCGACTAATGTGTTTGTCTATATTGTGTGGTGTGACGTCATGTGGTGTGTCCTCTGCTCGTGCAGACAAGCCGTCTGGTATTCGCTGTGCGCGTAAGCTGCGCGTGCACCGCCGCACGCAGCGCTGGGCTCAGAAGTCGTACAACAAGAGCCACTCGGTGACGGCGATGAAGGCCAACCCCCTTGGCGGGTCTTCCATGGCCAAGGGCATTGTCTTGGAGAAGATTGGCATTGAAGCCAAGCAGCCGAACTCTGCTATCCGCAAGTCGTGCCGCGTGCAGCTGATCAAGAACTCGAAGAAGATTGCTGCGTTTGTGCCGCGCGATGGCTGCCTGAACTTTGTGGACGAGAACGACGAGGTGCTGATCTCGGGCTTTGGTCGTCGCGGCCACGCCGTGGGTGACATTCCTGGTGTGCGGTTCAAGGTTGTCAAGGTCTCGGGCGTGTCATTGCTGGCTCTGTACAAGGAGAAGAAGGAGAAGCCGCGCTCCTAGATGTGTGCCATGGACATGAAGAAACGTGTCTGTCAGCGGGATGATCGCTGGATGGTCCTGCAGCTACGTACTTTCGTGCTGCTTCGACTCGCCACGTGCTGTCTTTTGTGACGGGTGTACGGACGCTGCAGATACTTGCCATGGCAAGCTGTTTTGCTGTCATGTAAGCACGGTTAATGAGGAATCACTTACGCATTTCGATTGCGTTTTCTTTGCTTGAACGTGTGTTTGTGTTGTGTTGTGCTGCGCGGATCTATCTGCAGTGGTCGCTGGTTGGCGAGCTGTACAGTGAGCACAGTCAATGTGCAAGTCGATCGTCATCGTGATAGCACTGTGCTTGCTGCAGGATTGGCTGTTACTTACATGCTGGCCACGCGTGGAATGCCACTTGTGACTCTACGAACCCTAGAAAGCAGATGTTGCAGCCAAGAGTTGTTCCTCCGAGCCGACATTGATCAAATGTAGAGCCTACAAGCGTCGTTCCTGCCACGCAGAAGAAGCTGTGTTTGCCAATGTAGACATGATGCTGGTGACATTATGTACACAGAGCTGTCTAGCGTCCGGTCAGTCTGGACTGCTTCCACTTGAAGCCCTTCGACCTAGTTCGCAGCCTAACGGAAATCGTGCCATACGAATATCACTAGGGATCTATGACGTGCGCGGGCGACAGCGCCTAGGACCGTTGGCGTATACATGTTACGGCGAGCTCGTTGTTGATGACATGTGCTGGTCGGACCAGTTGTTCGTCGATCGGAGATCCGCTTGAAGATCGTTTGGTATTTCGGCTTGATCCATACACATCTCGGACACGTTATGTTGGCCACCCAGGGCTTGTTTGCCAGACTCTTCTTCACGAACATTTCCGCTGTCGGAGTTTTATTGCTTCGCGTCCGCAGAATGCGCCACGCCGACGCAAAGAAGACTTGAAAAATTGAGACACATCTGACACCACGTTCAGCCAAAGTCTTAGCAATCGCCTGTTCACGTTGTAAAACCAATGCTGTGAAATGTGCCTGGACAGGTGACGGTCGAGCAGGTGGAGGGAGAATCATCTTTGAGTCATACGCTCCTTTGGCGTTACACTACCAAAACTCCATCGAGACCATTTGCACGTACATCGAGTCTTCATTGTGCTTACGATGAGATCCAACACAGTCTAGCCGTGGCTTCATAATACCTACGATTTGATTGCGATATAATCGCACCATCACCAACGAAGGGGACAGACTCTCTACTCCTTCTGCGTCGGATCGCTACTCCCAGTCTGCGTCTTCCGTCGCTATAGCTCAACTACTCACACTACACATGCTGCAGTCTCTCGCCACATTTGCTTTGCAAAGGGCGCTTTGCCATTGCCCGACTATCGTCTGCCACTATTTATTAGGTGTGAAAGCTGATCGTGAGCTCTACTATAGCTCTGCTGTGATAATCAATCGCCCGAGTTCATCGAGACTCACGGTACACAAACATGTCTGCGAGGCAGTACTGATTCGTAAACGGTCGGACAAATCTGGCGAATGGGTCAGATGTATCACTACCAGATCATGATGATATAACCGGTATGCAAGTCACCACGTTAGAATCGACGTAATACGTGTCTACGACCATGGATTCGTCATCGTCAGAACATCGGTGATTGGACGATATTTTACGGTAAACTATCGGACGCATTCGAGCCGTTGTTGTTACTTGTCCATTTGCAGTCGAGCGAGCAGAGATGGCGATGCAAATCGAGTTGATCCCTGTCCTGTCTGACAATTACGCCTATCTTCTCATTGACTCTGCCAATCGTACGTCTATCGGTTTAGTATCGTTGCTGTTACATTGTACAACATACCGAAAGATTAGTTTGTGTCGACAGATGTGGCGGCGGCAGTTGATCCCGTGGATGCCCAAAAGGTTTACGCCCGTGCCGAAGAGCTCCACGTGACCATTTCCATGATCCTCGCTACCCATTCACACTGGGACCATGCAGGTGGAAATTCGGACCTTGTGAACCTCATTCAGGAGCGCGAAAAGCGTCAAATACCGGTCGTCGGGGGACCTGGAAGCGCTGTGGAAGCTCAGACTCAATCAGTGGCTGAAGGAGACGTGCTGCAATTCGGGGATCTAAGCATCAACGTCTACTACACTCCGTGCCATACTCGTGATCATGTGCTGTATCATTGCCAGGACTCGCTGTTTACCGGTGACACGGTGTTCGTCGCTGGCTGTGGACGGTTTTTTAGTGGAACCCCAGCGGAGATGCACTACGCACTGAATGAGGTGGTAGCTAAGCTGCCAGAGGAGACAAAGATCTACTGCGGGCATGAGTACACGGCAAGCAATTTGCGCTTTGCTGCTTACGTGGAACCGGAGAATGAAGTGGTGCGAGAGAAGCTGGCATGGGCTATCGAGAAAACAGAGGCCGGCGAGCCTACGATTCCGTCGACGGTGAAGGAGCAGCTGGCAACGAACCCGTTCATGCGAGTGAAGGAAGCTACGGTGCAGAGATTTGCCAATGGAGAGAAAAACCCCGTGCTGGTCATGGAGTTCGTGCGTGCTGCCAAGGACAGCTTCGTGATTGGAAAGTAGATATGATGAGCTTGATGAGGCATGACAGGCGTTTTGCACATGACGTTACTCTTCCTTGCTGTTGAGTCCTGGTTGCGTGCTACTAGACCATAAAGTATCATGTCGTGATATCCTATCCGCATGGACACCCATTTTGCAAACACAGTGTGTATCGTCAGCAACACGTGCAAATGTCAATGACGTGCAGCTCAACAAGAAGCCTTCAGGCAGATAACTCGACTACAGTTGCAACGCCGTATACACAAAAATTAGCATGCCTTCGCAAGCTCTGTGTTCCTTCTCGCTACTTGCTGCCAAACAACTGCTAAAGGTCAGCACTATCGCGGCTTAGCTTTTCAAACGGTGAGAACGTTCCTTCCTCACTATCGACCTAGATGAGGAGTTGTCGATAGAGTACATACTATTCGATACCTAGGAATATGGATACACGTCGCCCATCGTGCACTGAATATGCTAACTATAACGGAGTCGAAACGAAAGATTTAGAAAGTGCCGCTCTTGTTGATAGCTACTTTTGAGCTGCTGCTGCGTCGAGATAGCGATGTGTAGGCGCATTGCTGATAGTCTGATAATGATAGTGCGTCATTGTGGCCAGATTGTTTGCGTAGGACAGTCAACGCGCGTGGATGTACTCGGTGGCTCTGGTCAACGTGATCAATGAGCCCTCGCAGTCATATTGAGGATATACCAGACAGGCATGATGCGCTACGATCCTACCGACAGCATGTGCTGATCGATGCAATGATTGACAGCAATGCATACACCGTTGCTTGGCTCTCGAAGGTTGGATAGCTGATGGTTTGTTTGTGATACCTTGGGATCGCTGTACAAACGGAAGCTCGTGATAGTGCTGAGTCGTGAGGACTCCCGAAACCATTATTGCATCGCACCAAGACGGGCAACAATGGAGGGCACTATGTGAAGCTTCATTCATAAATATATGACTGTTATCCTATTTATCAGCCATTTGGTGCAGGCGGTACGCAAAGATACCCGCACAGCTTGTGCTCTTACTTGGCCTGGATTTGAACCGAAGATCTACCCAATCATCATGGTTTTCGTGACAAAGATCCACATCGTTTGCTAGTTTGACATCGTGACCCCTGTATCACTTACGCCATGCTCAACTATCAATCTCAACAAATCCACGCGCGAGGGTGTGTGTGATACATTCTATTCACAGGTTGAAAGCATATTGGGAATGCTGTTTGCTTGCACAAGAGCACAATCCGTTGGCTTTCATCTCAGACACCTCTTCCCAAATCGTGCTATATTTTTCGTATCGCTGCTAGCCTATTTTTGCACGAGTGCATCTACGCGTGGTGAAACTCGGACAATATCTGGGTGGGCATCTTGAGCCGATATAACGATACGACACGCACAGCCGCCATTTTACATCAGGTGGCAACAATCACAAGAACAATGACGTCGACTGAGTTATATAATTGCAGATGATTTCCATTAAAAAAATCTGTGACACGGCCCAGTGGCTGACAACGTGTCCCAAACATCTTGAGGCTTCTGGGTAGCCAGTAAAGACACACTTTGTACACGAGATCATCTTTCTACAAAACCGCTTGCTTGTGTGAGCAGTACAAACACGTGTCTACTATAGCCGGCGTGCTAGCAATTTGGCATCGTTGCAGTGAACGAAATATGATTCCAGGTTCGCTTCCGATTCGAGTGGGACGCAATCTTTGCTATAACGTCAGAACCGATAGCGTTGCTTGTTGAGAATCGTAGGTGACACCCGCTCAATAATGTGCCCACATAATTGCCAGTCAGTAGACTGCTACCGCTGTTTGTGTCCGCTGTAGGTTCTCGAGCCACAGAAGGATCTAGCAACATTTGTGCAAACATTCATTTGAAGGTATGCCGTGTCGATAATTACGAAGGGTTTCTCTTTTAGTACTGTGGTCCACGTGTCTCAAATGAGTGTTTAGGAACCGAGAAAGAGCGGAATGTACAGTGCATCATGCTAAGTAGCCACCTACGAGCCATACGATATTCGGACTTGAGCATCGTCCGTCTAGACGTCATACATTTCTGCCTGATCACGTTCGCGCAAACGGCGTTTGTACTTTCTCGCAGCTTCACAATTCATTCAGAAACATTATCATCGTAAAAGGGTGTCGTAGTCGGCATTCGTACCACTTTGCGTCGTTCCTGTGCTTCCGCGAGTTCCGAAAGGAGAGTATGAGATACCTCGAAGTCAGAAAAAGCCATCAAATCGAAGTTTGCTACATCCACGGCAGTGTACTACTTTCTAGCGATTGCAGGCAAACCCGCAGCAGCGAGTGTCGACCTTTCTTTCACCTCCTTTTGTCTTCAGATCCTGTCGTCTCGTCAAGCCTTTGCCGAATGCGATCCAAATTCTGGTGAGAGCGCGGCTGCGGGTAGCATCGTCGCCGCCATTGAGGCAGTTCAGCGCTGCTGGAGCAAGCCGTAGTCGATGCCGGTCATGGATCAGTTATAACTCGTACTTTATCTTCATCTTGCGTAAGTTTGCTCAGTAGCTCCGTCGCGCGCGCGATCACGTTGGGCGGGCATCCAGCAAGCGCCGCGGTGTTGATACCGTACGATTGGGACGCAAGGCCTTCAACCACACGATGCGAAAAGACGAGTTGTGTTGTCTGGCCTTCTACTCGGTGCTCAAGGACTTCCATCCGATACGGTCGAAGCTCGCCCGAACACGTACCGCCAACCAAACTGTTTAACGCAGTGAAATGTGTGGCAAACAACGTCCGAGTCTGTCGTGCGCATAAAGTCTCCAGCACAGCTCCAGCAATCGCGATACCATCGTTGACAGCAGTGCCACGGCCCACTTCGTCCATCAAAACTAGCGAGCGACTCGTTGCCTGCGTCAAGATTGTCGATGTCTCTTGCATTTCTACCATGAAGGTACTTTTGTCAGCTGCCAAATCGTCTGTCGATCCGACACGACAAAATAACTTGTCAACAAGACCAACCCGAGCAAACTTCGCTGGTACAAAGCTACCCATTTGCGCTAGCACCACGACATGCGCACTTTGACGTAGAAACGTGCTCTTTCCGCCCATGTTAGGACCTGTTAGTAACCAGCAAGACCCCACTGGGTCTGCTGCGAGGTGTAGACTATTGGGCACAAAAGTGCGCATGTTTCGAGCGTTTTTACCTCGAAGGTGAGCTGCTTCCACAACTGCGTGGCGCCCGTCTTCAACGTGCAGCTCGTAACTGCCATCAAGCAATGGTCGAGTGAAATTGCGCTCCAGAGCCACTTGGGCGTGAGAACAGACGACATCTATCTGAGAGATCGCGTGAGCCATGGATTGCAACTCAATGCGCACAGCTAGAATTTGGTCACGCAGCGCCGCAAAGATACCGTTTTCTACACGCTCTACCTCCACCGCGGCTTCTGTGACTTCCCGATTTAGCTGTCGCAACTCCTCACTGCGATATCGCACTGAGTTTTTCATCGACTGGAATAGCGTCAGTTTCTCGAGTTCGCGACGTCCACAATCGGTTTTCAATAGCTTCGTGTTTTCGTCGTGCGGGAGATCAAGAAAGTACCCCTTCTCTGCCTGGAATACAACACGAAGCCGCGTAGATCCTACCAGTTCGCGATATTTGGCCTGCAACTCCTGCTTTTCTGGGGACTTCGGGTCATGTTGTAGAATAGCTCGCCACCTGTCTAGTTCTGGAGAATATCCAGCACGAACGAACCCGCTTTTGGAGTTGAGCGCTGCGTAATCATCTTTGAGTGCCGCGTGAATTTCGTCCGCAGCTTTTTTGATTTTCCCGCGTTGCTGCTTATCGGCATCAAGGTCGCGACAGCACTCATCCAGTAGTGCTGGTAAATTCGAGGTGCCCTGTCCAAGTGGATCCATGAGGCGGCTGCATCGATGACGCTCGCTGGTCCATACAAGTTCAAACAAGAGTTTGGCTTCATCAATGGTCGAAGCAACATTCTTCAGATCTTTCGGGGTGCCAACGCCTATTGAAAGCCGTTGAAGATTCCGCTCCATGTCAAAAACTTCTGCTAGTTGTTTTCGCGTGCGTTGCAGTAGAAGCTCTTGTTCGTGGAAATACGAAACAGCGTTTAGCCGACGATCGAGAAGCCCTAGATTCACCAGCGGCGACGATAACTGAGCCTAGACATACTCCGAATCATAAGCGTGGTACATAATAGAATAGTACGAAAAGCAGCATCGACTCGTACCGCAAGAAGTCTTGAGCCGCCAGCCGTTGCTGTTAAATCGATGGTTTGAAGGAGACTCGATGCTTTTGAGCCACTAAGCGACTTCGTGAGCTCTAGCCCTCTCCACGCGCTCGAGTCGATAATCATGTGGTCAGAAGATTCGACGTGAAGCGGTGCCCGAACCAAGGCACTCGATCCTCGGTGAGTGAAGCGCACGTAGTCCAGAATCGCTGACACTGCTGCTTGTTCTGGTGAGTCGGCGGCACTGACGATACTGGCACGACCTTGACGCCCGCCATCGGGTTTTTGTGGAATAAAGCTAGCAGCGGGGCGGAACGTTTTCATGCACGTGTCAGGAAGCACTGCATCCAGCAACGCGACGGCATTTGGAGGCATGTCGACCGAATGCGAGCTCACTGTGTCGACCACCTCATCCGTCAGACTTGGCAGCAGAATTTCTTTTGGCGAGCACCGCAAGATAGCGCTAGAAAGCTTGTCACACGTGGACGTGGTCGACACAAACTCGCCCGTTGACAAGTCGGCCCACGCAAGGCCCCATACACCCTCCTTGTAAAAGAGAGACGCTAAGTAATTGTTCTCCTTCGGCGTGAGCATCGTATCCTCCACCAATGATCCAGGTGTGACGATTCGGACAACTTGTCGGTCTACAAGGGAGTTCAACCCCCTCCGTTTCGCACTGGATGCCGTCTGCAAGTCCACGTGATGATGCCACACACGCGAAAATGGATGTCACTAGAAATGCTCAGTTATGCGAATAGTCCGCGATATGTCCAACCCCACCTCAACTTGATTGCATATCGCCACTTTGACACCATGATGCATCACCTACTTCGTTTGACATTCGTACAACAATATCAGCAAGCAGCTCACTCAACACATCGCTTACCACCAAGCAAAAAAGAGAAACTATCGCAAATACCAACTTCTCTACGAACGAGTCCACGGATCCAATAGGGAACCCACACATTGCGCTAAGCGCGTGTTGAGTCGTTTTGGTCTTCCTTGTCAGTGCTAAGTTCAGCAGCTTGTTTACGAAAAGCACAAAAAGGACACACACATGCACAAACAGTTAGCACGCTCTCATAAAGTGCTTTATCTCTCTCTTGTTTTCTCATCGAAGCGCTTGTACATGAGCTGCTCGTCGGGCATCTTCCCCAAAAAACTCGTAAAAGTCTCCCACTTGGAACAGCAGCATGCAGTCTTTACATGACAGCATCAACGAGGGACAAACGTCAAATATCCAGATAGTTTGCGATGAGCCAAAATCCATAGCAGCGAAGCAATCGCTGTGGTGTACCTGGATACTCCTTCTTGCGAGCGAGATACTGCGCGACCATTGGCGTCACTTTCGTCGTCTCGTTCTCAATGGATTTATCCCCAACAGTCGCCGAAGCAGCTGCGGATGATAGCCACCGTGTGCAGCTACCACACTGGCAGTGCCAATGCGACGATGTGTTCGGTCTGGCAGCGAGACGCGCACGAGGATCAAGTCCACGAGCGCGATTCAGCCGCCGCAGCATTATTGGCTGTGGTTTGATATAGATATTATCTGCATCGGATTTTGTTTTATCGCTTGTCGTCATCTGAGATTACGATGAGCTATTTTTAAGCTGTGAATACAATGCGACGTGTGACGAGCCGAAATTTACCTTGTTGTGGTTAACCTATGTTTCATCCGCTAAACTGATTTCAGTAAGCTGAAACCATGTATAAGCTGTCCCTGTAACGGGGTAGCCCGTTACATGAGATTGTCATTAAAACAATCTGACGATAAAGAATATTACGTCGAATATTCTTTTAACAATATCACAGACATGGTGGTATTGTTGAAGATGACCGAAGGGTCTACTCATTGGTTGATATCGTGATTATATCAACCCACCAATCGCTGCTAGACGCGCGCAATGGGTGGTGAGTAGACGTCATCATACATATAGTTACATTAGTATAATTAAGTCAGTAAAAACAGAGATACAAGAGTTATAGGACTTAATTATATTAATACAGTTTTACTTTTACCAGAGACTAGTCTGAATACTTGGTCTCCTTTCCTTCCTCTGTGTTCCTTAAACACTTAGCAGGGCACTGTCGACCACTGTCGTCAGTGGAAGTATACTCCGTACTGGTCAACCAGTACGTAGTCAACAGTGCCCCGTTACAGTCCCACTGAGTGTCTTTCGAGCTCGATTTGCGGCTGCTAAGTTCAAGATACACGTTATATCTGATTTAACGAACTCACTTTTCAGGAGGTTCTGTACGTAGGCTCGTTGCAGCATGATACGATACGTAACATAAACAATATTCGTTCATGGTCTTGGTTTAGCCGGAGGTGCACATACGCGAGCCACACGTCCGGGTGACCTATCTGTTTGGCTGAGGAACCGGCACTAGTGGCAGCCAATATTGTTAGACGTCGATGGCGTTGTCTGCACGTGTGCAAAGGATATCGGGGTGCCTGGGTAAAATTTATTTAATGTTGGCTACTCTCGTTCGTCAAATCTATGGAACACGCTTTTCGCCGGGACCGCAGCTTGACCAGCTCAAGTTGCGCATGGTATACGTCCAATCCGCCCTTCATCATATGCTGTTCCCACATGGCGAAACGCATCTTCTCATGTAATCTATCAAATTGTCACTTAGTAGCCAATCAGGTGATGTCAAACTTGCCTGTAACAGGTCTTGCAGTTGAACTTCAGAGCTTTCACTACCTGTCGGAAATGCTATTCACTAACACGCATTTCGGTTTGAGGTCCTACTGATCTATGCATGGCAGTCAGCCCGTTGACTTTGTAGACATTGCCAACCCACCCATCGATACAGACCTTTTTTTATTTACGCTTGTACGAACGACAAGATAAGTAAAACGGAGTATGCAAATACCGAATCAAGTTAATTAAAGATTAATAAAGTGGTGTTGCCTAATGTTATTCATGCAGGTTCGGGAACCCCTGATGTGATTTAGTATGTCCACAGAAACAGACCTTAAGTCAAGCATGCATGTTATCGCTCGTAGCCTCTTGACGTGAGCGATGTTGCATGTGTTAAAAGTCAGTGGGATTCATGGCCGACAGTGCCACTGTAGCGGAGATACACAGCTCCTTAAGTCAGAGGAAGACTTAACGCTCAATGAGAAACTTTGGTTCAACGAACCCGACTCAAAGAGTCAACAGCTCTACGAGCAACTTTGGTTCTACGAACCCGACTCAGAGAGTCAACAAGCTCAGAGAGCGTACGGTCCGTGTTCCAGGAGGACCAAACGATTCAAGAGAATCACAGCACAGAGTACTTAAGAGCAGCTACCTTTACAGACGTTGCTAGCTCTTCCGATCAAGACGCCTCGCAAGGCACGTGTCTTATGTTGATCAAAATGGGAACTGAATTTCATTTCTTCTTTTAAGAACACCGTAGAACAAAGAAAATAACCTACTCACTTATGTCCTGAATAAACCTACTAAAAGATCTCGTAATCAATGGTTGACAGACATCAGTCTTCAACAATTGATACTGTGTTCTAATATTACTTTAAAAGGGATATCATCCCTTGTGTGTACCACACCTATTGTCGACTACCAGTCGACGTGTGATTTCATTACACCCTCCCCCACCAGGCTGACGTTTTCACAAAACGTCAATCGAATTCTCTTCTTGAAGAGGACGATGTGTGTGCGCTTCAACCTCACTATTGGCAAAACACAAACACCATGACATCGCCACCCCATGAGTCCTCGACTCTCTCGTCTTACCTTGGAATCGATGGGGATGTGGATTATGGTAGCGATACCGATACCCATGGTGACGAGAGGACAATGTCCGACGCACCAGTGCAAGAGGCAGCGCCTCATATTGCACCAAACCCATTTGCCGAGCGTGGCGAAGCCAACGCGCCATCGGCGCCGCATCAAAACTTCTTGTGGGCGATGCCATCATTACTAATCCGCTCGATGAGCAACAATAGTTAGCTATCCAACGAGAGGAGAGCGCTCAGCGCCGTATGCAGCTTGCTGCAACCCTTGAGGGTCGTCGTGGCTACCTGTTCACACCACTCAATGTGGAAGAGCGTATAGGCCAAACGACAGGTCGTTCTTTGGCAACGTGGGCCATTGGCGCTGAGCCTACATCTTCTGATGAGGTGGCGAGTTGACAGGCACTTCGTGAGAGGTACCTGCAACCCCACTTGACGACTCAAAGTCAATACGAGTTGCGACTTGACACGCAGGCACGGGGTGCACCGGTTCCACCGATGAAGGGTATACCCATCCTCTTATTTGCAGGCGAATCTCAAGAGGAAGAAGATAACGCTTTTGTTCGCTGGGTGCATCGGAAACGACACCTCAGTAGCGTGTTAGCTCCCAGAGCAAGTGCCGATGTGGCAGATGTTCGTCTAGAACGAAAGCTTCGGTAGGATTACGCCAAGCTTAAGGCCAGAGGCCAATTGCAAACTCGCACACGCTATGCTCCGGCTGTGCCGATTGATGTGGGTGTTGGTCAAGCGGGACCCAACTACTCACCTGCTTCCACCACTATTGGTGAGAAGCGCTCTAGATCGAGGGATGACCCTTGCCACGATGTTCAAAAACATCAACGGCGTATGGGCAATCCTGCCGATAGGGTGTCTCAAACTCCCACGAGTTCTCCGACTCCGGGTACCCTCGCTACTTCACCAGATACTGGTATTGACCCTGACGACGACGTCGTTTCAGGAATCGCTAAACATGGAACTGGTAGTTCCCTTGCTCATCGAGCAGCGTCGGAGGTGGTCGGTATAACGAAGGAGGATCATAAGAAGGTGTTTCTCGAGCTGAGTGGTCTCCGTGAGACATTGGGTAAGACCCAGAGTGCGTTTGACGCGATGCGAGCCTGTGTCCAGGCGTTGGAGTTGAGCCAAGCCCGGATGGAGGCTCAGCTTGACCTCCTGATACGGATTAAGCAACCGATGGCAAGGCCAACCTACCCGGCGCAAGCGCTTCCAAGCTCACGTGGGACGAATCCCGATACGGCTTAAGCAAGCCAACGTAGAACACGTGGTGTGTGCGCAGTTTGCGCGGAAGGTTGACCGTATACGCAAGTCCCTTCTTGGCGACGACCGTAAATGGTTCAATGAAGCGCGGGCGCAACTTTGTCTTTAAGACAGCCGACACTACAATTGTAGGTAGGTTTTTAGCATTGAGTAGAACTTGGTCTCCAACCTCATAACGTTCAATACAACCTCTGCCTTTATCATCAGATTGTTCCTTCTGCTTGTCTTGGCTATCAGCCAGTGCGTCACTTACGTGTCGTAACACATTCAAGCGCGTTGCGAGAAACTCGCTTTTCTGTTTATGAACAGTAGAAGGGCTTATATCAGCAAGCCGATCGGCAACTCCTCCCCCACCAATCCCTGAACCACGCAGTGGTAGCGTTAACGAAACGCGAGGGTGTGTGAGACCATTCACATAAAACGGTGTGTAGCCGGTGGAGGCATGCACGACGTTCTTCAACGCAAACTCAACGACGGGGAGCATCGAACTCCAACGCTTAGGCATTTCAGCGCAAACACTGCGCAAGATGTCACCGATGATGCGATTCACTCGCTCGGTTTGACCATCAGTCTGCGGATGATCCGCTGTGGACATGTCCAAACGTGTGCCGAGCACCATGAAGATAGATTTCCAAAACTTTCCAGTGAAGCGAGGATCTCTATCAGAGACAATTGACAACGACAAACCGTGTTGTCGAAACACTCGATAGATAAACAGCGTAGCTGTACCCTCACCATCAATGGTATCTGGCACCGCTGCTAAATAAGCCATCTTGCTCAAACGGTCAACAAAGACCACAATACCCGTATTTACATACGAATCCTTCGGTAATCCAAACGGGAAGTCCATACTGATGGACTCCCAACACCCTTTGGGTATAGGCAAACTAGCCAGCGGCGCGGCCGCGTGAGGTGATGGTATCACCCGTTGACACGTTTCACACGTACGCACATATATGCTCACCCATTTGTATAGTTTGGGCCACCAATAGCATTGACTAACTGAGCCAATGCTATTGGTGGCCCAAACTATACATATGTCTTCTCACGACCGAGATGACCACTTAACGCAGTATCATATCTTCTCACGACCGAGATGACCACTTAACGCAGTATCATGTGCCTCATAGAGGATCCGATACTTCAAATCCTCATCATGAGGGACAACGATGCGAGGAATATCCTCCACATCCGTGCTATAGCACAACATGCCTTGATCGATGGAATATCGATATAACCTCGCACGTAATCGTGCCGACAATTCTATGTCCGAGTCCTTAAACTCTCCGCTCCCTAGAGCACGTAGCAGAGCTACACAGTGTTCATCCTTGGCATATGCCGTACGGATTAGGTCAGTGACCGACGACGACAGAGTCGTAACATGAGCAAGGTCATAGTCAGGCCTGCGTGACAACGCATCAGCCAAAGCATTCTGCTTGCCCGGCTTATACTTCACCTCGAAGTTGCATTCGGCAAAGAAGGAAAGCCAACGAGCCATTCTCT